AAAGAAGACTTAGTTGATTACTTAGCGAGCTTGTAATAAAACCTTTTTCCAATCGAAATCATGGAGGAAGTGTTTGCGAGGCTAGTTGGGACTATGGAGCATCAGCAGCAGATGATCCAACAACTGCTGGAGGCCCAAACCCAAGCACAAGCGCAAGCGTTGGCAAATCAACAAGCGCAACAGGAGAATCAACTGAAGGCGCAGCAGGACATGCAAGCAGCGCTTCTTCGATGTGTGTCTAGTAACGGCGATCAGGGTAGAAGCCAACTACGTGACACTGAACGGCGTGTCGAGGGGCTCTCAATGCCAGCGTACCATGGGCATTTGAACGAGAGTATCGGGTTATACATCCATCGAGTCAAGACGTTCTTTGCGGCAAAAAACTTGAAGTACGAAACGGACGAAACGGTTGAAGCACGCTGTCTAGCGATGGTTGTTGCAAACCTCCAAGGGCAGGCAGCTGCATGGTATCAAGAGCTAGCGTCGCAAGGTCATGGGTTTACGACACTCGCGGAGTTTGAGCACGGTTTGCGTGAAGAGTTCGAACTGAGTGATCTACAAGAGCGGCTACGTGACCGTCTGTTTGCGTTGCAGCAGAAGGGGTGCAAAGACTTAGTCGAGTATATCGAGAAGTTCCGTCGTGTTTGCACGGATGTGCTGGAGATGTCAGAGCTGGACAAGGTGACGTTCTTCATTCGAGGGAGGAAGTGAAGTACCGTCAAAGTAAGATCTTGTCTGAAGCGATCAAGGCGGCGTTGGAGTATGAACGTGCGCATTCTGTTTCACTCTCGTCGATGAAGCGTCCCGACAAGCCGAACCGATGGAATCGGACGGACTATGGAAGCGGCCAGCGCGAAGGACATGTACCGCGTTTGGAGTCGCAAGTGTCCACAGACATGGAAGTGGACAATGTCAAGATGCAAGGCAGTCGGAGGAAGGATAGTAGCAACATTCGCTGTTACAACTGTCAGAAGTTGGGGCATATCGCGACAGAATGTCGGAAGCCCAAGAAGAAGATATCAAGGCAGGCACCGCCCAGCCACCAGAACAACCTCGAAGTCCAGGAGCAAGTGTCGAACGATGATGTTGAGCGTATCTCGTTTGGAGTTGTCAAGGAAGTAAACGACGACATGAGGACTGTGGGAACGGTTGTTCAAGTAGAGCCCGAAGCTGGAAAGAAGTCACCAGCGTTGATGATTAAGTCGGGTGTAATGAATGGCAAATATGTGAAAGTGTTGTTGGATTCTGGAGCGACACATTCACTTTGTCGAGTTGGGTTGGGAACCAACGTCATTCGCAACAAGTCAGTGCGCATTGCTGCGTATGACAATGTGTGGTCACCTATGACGAATACGCGAGAAGTCATGGTAACGATCAAGGTCGACAAGTTCTCATTTAAGGACACAGTAATGACAGAGTGGGACTTGAAAGACAAGGACTTTGACGTTATCCTGGGTGTACCTTGGTTTGCGAAGCACAATCCAGTTATCGATTGGCGC